CTCCCCGGTAAAACCCTAAGTAATAGAGACATTCCATGAACAACCATTTCTTTAGAAAAAATTAATAAAAAGGTCTTACGACGATGGGTTCTTTGAGACTTTTTATTTAAATTTTTTCGGTAATCAATGGATTATTGCCTTACGCAACTTTAATTCGTTAAAATAATGCCTGAATGCCGAGAAGGTACTTTTTCGACGAGAACGGAAATCGATATTATTTTTCACTTAGGAAGATGGCTGGCCCAAGCCAGGATCAACCTCTCAGCTCGAACGGTCGAATTAAAGAGTGGCTCAGAAAAATGCAAACACGACAAGCAAAGCCTCTCCTCAAAAAAAAAAAAAAAAACTAATGGAAAGGGTTGGTACTAAACTGGTACTTCAAATATTTAATGCTAGTCACCAGACTGTCAACATTAAAGGTTTTAGGGTTTTAGTCTGACGTATAAAATTATATTTGAAAGAGAAAAAGAACAGTAGTGCTACAACCTATTAACAATAAGAAAACAACACCAGAATATAAGTAAAACGCACCATTGTCAAAAGTGTAACACAAGTTCACAAAAATCCTGGATGGAACCAAAATTTTCAATTTCAAATAACTTTTATTAACAGTTCCCAATCTATTACATTGCATTGCTTCTTTTCTCTCGATTTATTTGTCTTTTCATTTCAAGGACTGGAAAATGAACATTCTTATATGATATAAATATTGTCACGGCTCTGTGGTATATGACAGAAATATTGGGTCGGTTTATTCCAAAATCAAAGTACAATTAACACAACAATAATTTATTCCACGTTACTACACACTCCTAAACTAATTACTTCACTAATTAACTCAAACAACTTAACTCTTCACAACTTTTACAATATTCATTATCTGAATCATATCACAACCAATCTTAAACTTAAAAACAACTAACTAATACTGGCCTTTATATCCCTTATCTATTCTTGCAAAATCCAGAATAAACGCGATACACCTTTTTCCCGAAGAGCACTGTAAAAATCTAGAATTCTTCTAACCGATTCTGTATCTTCTGGCGGAGGCGCACGTAAATTCCGTTACAAATACATTCAATTATTTACAGGTTTGCCGGAAAACTGAAGACGTAGAAAAGTATGATAGTACAGTCATACAAGGATTCATCCACATTCATCTACTGAAAAAATCCGAATCTTGTTTTGATTTTTAGATGTAGGATGTACGATCTTCATTCTCGTAATCTGTCCGCTTTTCCACGACATACAAATGTTAACATTAAACACAGCATCGGCCCATAATGTATTTGGAGTTAACATTTGTACCGTTCAGTTCTGGCTGCGAAACGCCGCGCCCCTTACCGATAAGAGTTGGGTAGTGGGTAGACTGATCAGGACAAGACTCGGCTGTACAGACAAGTCCAGCAGGATAACCGTAATGTTTATGTTCTGGTTAAACGTACGGACATAGATCAGTTATACTTCCTACCCCGCTAAGACACGCGATTCCGAATTTGTCGCTAGAAGCTTTTGGGGACTGGTGCTGAACCTAGGGCTGATTTCTTCGATAGTTGTTCTATTCCTTTATTTGCGCATTGGTCCCTGGTTTTTCTTTCTCCACTGTAACAAGCTACCTGGTGCTAGTGGGCCCTCAACCACTATAATCTTGAGGGTGGCGCCCGTTATTACCGCTGGATTAACCAAAAGATAAATACCGACCGTTAAGCTGCCACAGCTCAAGGAAAACCTAGGAAAATCCATTACAAATTTGGCGCCCGAGCAGGGACCCTTCTGCGCATCAGCAACTGACTGTAAAGATCATGTCCCCGTTTCACCGAGAGGCCGTTTATTTTGGTACCGACCGATGGGTTGACCGTTACATCGTGATATATTTCTTCATGGATTCTTCAGAAGCAACGGCGCTGCTTGGTGTTACTATTTTAATAAGCCCCATAATTTAAAACGTGTTGTGGCCGTCTATTGTGTAGACATTGATATCTTCATTGTCTGCTGAATACTGAATAAGAGCACCAGTTTCAAATGATACCATATCTGGTTGTGGATGGTAGAGAGCAGCAACTTCATACATTAATGTTTCTCCATACGACGCGCTGAATCCAAGAGTTGACAAAATATCTAGAAAAGGTTAGATGTGAAGGATCGTGCACGTATCGTAGCCATAATAACATGACAAATAGCGGTACACTTACACTTAAGATTGTCAGTTTTGCCTTTTCTGTTTTTCAGAATTAATCCTTCAATAAAGTACGAAGGGCTCTGTGGGATGTTTTCGTTAAGATTATGAAACATTTTACTGGGAGGAGGATAAGATTGACAATCAACAGTCATGAAACGAATATCTTCTCTGATAATTTTGGTCACAGATTGTACAATTCGAAGGCGTTCTTTTGCCGGTTGAGATTTCTTATTTTCGTAGCAAGCTTTACTTAAACTATTACTTTGAGTATCGCGGAAATAAATCATAGTCGAAAAGGAATGCAGTTTTGTCGGTTACAACAACCGAAAAGCGTGGAAATTGAAAAAGAAAAGAATGCTAAGGATGATTGAAAATTTTGGTCCTGGGCGGGATTCGAACCCGCGTCCTCAGCATTGCCGGTGCTACGCTCTAACCAACTAAGCCACCACGACCCTACAGATCTTGTTGATTTTTTGATTGGTGTTGTTAGAGGAAGTTGCGTGGTTCTCCGCTCATTGTCAAACTTCTAATTATACATTGATATTTCTTAGTTTTTTTTGTCTCTGTTTCCTCGATGGCTTCTTCACCACAAAAAAAAAAAACACAAAGTTTTTAAATCAAAATATCCCAAGCTAGAGCGTGTTTTGCGAACAAAATAGTGAGATGTACCGGCAGCATCGTCATCTCGTCGTCTTTTAGATGACACTATGCAACTCCCCTAGGACACCAACCTCCAATTCGAGGATTGATGCGGGTTTCCCTTACGACAAACTGGGTTTTCGGAAAACCTTATTTCGCACCCGGAGGATTTAATCGTTGGCTCTCTCTTTTCTTTCTTCGTGCTCGTAAGCAGCTTGCACCAACAAAACTAGGGGGCTCGTCCACAGGCCGCCTAAAGCGATCCCGATAGTGAGGACACCCACGCAAAGTATTGTCAGCCTAATACGCGATCCAAGTGCAGGGTAAGCAAGTCACCACACTTCTGTCGAGAAAAATGGGGGACTTTTAGATGCTACTTTTAACGTTCTGCATGATCTTCTTTTTCCGCACTTGCGTCTCTCAAAGCATCTATACCTGCATTTTACAGTCACTGTAACACCATTTGAGAGCAATTGACTGCAAATAAAAGAAGACTCATCCATCGCGATGGGTAATTAAATCACAAAACGAAACGTCGGAAACGTCTAGACTTCTTGCCAACTAGATTTGAACTGACTTACATCGATTGAATGCGATTAACCGGTCGATCATAGTTGACAGATAACCAATGAAGCAAATGTCATTTGGCAATCAATCGTTAATAAATGACGTTCATGACTTTTGACCTCGAATATCTGAAAACGCAAGCGCGATATCGATGGGGACTTTTAAGACATTATTTCTTGAGGTAGAATAAAGGTGTAGACAAAATTTAGGCTCACTCGGATTTTTTCAGCAGATGCTACTTTTTCCGGCCTAATATAACTGGAGTATGAACCTAGCACTTATGTTTAGATCTCTGGCTAATCAGGCTAAAATATCCTGGATATATAGGACTTTATTTAAATATTAATCGTGTTGTTGACTTGTTTCAAACTTGAGCCTTTATTCTCTCTAAATCCGTATGACCGAAAATAGTCCTCTACTAAGAAAACTGTTTCTTAAGTTGAAAGATACATAATGACTAAGATTTTAACCTTAACTTAATGTCAACCTCATAACTAATCCCAAGTAAGCGAAATATGATAAATACAACTTGCGTGCGCAATTACTCAGAGGTCTATATTTCGGTACTCTTTATTTTGGCGGATACCGTATTATACAGGGTGTTTGGTACATCGATGGGAAGTTTTCAATGAGTGATAGTTGGGGTCATTTGGGAACTGTGGTGACCACATTTACCCTTATGCAAAATTTCGTCGTTTTTGAGATCATTTTCAGATATTTTTGGGGAATAAATATTTGAAGTGTTCCTAAAACATATTGTTTTTTTTTTATAGTAAACTCTTTAACCTTCCTCAATATTTTTTCCGATATTTCTAATATCACTCTTTCGAAAAATACGGAAAGGAAAACCGAATGATTGATACAAAAAAAATGTAGCCCAAGTTATGTGTTAAAATACATTCAAAATATCTAAAAATGGCGATATCTCAAAAAACGGCGAAACTTTACATGAGGGTAAATATGGTCAAACAGCTTCCATTGCACAGCACTCATTGAAATATTCCTGTCGATGTACCAAACACACTTACAGGAGACAGGCAGTTTTATATAGAGATGGCTTAAAGTTTTCAGTGAAGGATCGTTTTTGATCTTAGTTAATTATTAGCATAGAACATAGAGAGCCGATAATAAATCATACAACCAAAAAAGGAAAATGTCCAGGATTCGAAAATAGAAAGGCTTCTTGCATATAAAATTAATTATTTAAATGAAAAAAAAAGAAATGTAAGTATCTTAACACTGAATTTGAGATAAATTTTTGCATGTGTATCATACACAAGAAGTCTTAATAGTTTTTTGTCAACCTGTGTAAAACTATTGATGAGCGTAGTAAATGATCTATTTGTTACAGTTGATCAGGTCTAGCTCGTGCATTTTTTGTAGAGAGATCAAAAAACTGTAACTGTAAGAATGAATTGATTATTATCCATTACCTACCACACCAATTATTATTATTGATGTCGTAAAGCATAGACTATGAACAAATGCGATCGCATCAAAAGAGTAGGCCAAACGTGGAAGCAGGGAGCCACCAGGAAGTCGCACTCGAAGATTTTTGATACCTGCTGAAGCGAGCTTGACGCATCGCGCTTTCAGTCGCTATTCGAATCAGTTGTGCGCCACAAGTTTTTTTTTTCCTGGTATGATTTTGCTCCATGGTGATCTTTTAGGTCTGGGGGTTGTTTAGACTTTTTTGATAACTTAAATTGTGTGATGTGTACTTAGACTTTGTTTTATTAAGGGCGGTATGAATGCTATGAGGAAAATGGACCGGTATCGATTTAGGGTTTCCTTGCCTAAGCGGTAAGTGATTTTTTTTTTGTCGAATCATTACCGATTTAGTGCAAATTTCATCAAAAGTTTAAAGATAGATACAAGAAAGTAAAGATTTTAAGAGATAAAATGTATATTGGCTAGAAAAGTGTAGGCAGTTTATAGGATGTAGCAACAAGCAGGAATAATTTCCAAAAATTATTTTTGACAATAAATTCTGTAGCTTTAATTATTTTCTCAATGATTCCAGTCAATTACAACAATGGATACAGTAATGTACAATTTACCATACTAAGAGATGTGTAAACTAAATCTTGTCAAACTATTCCTTTGCCTTTTTTCTACTAATTGATTGAAATATAAAATCGTTCAAATTTGGAACGCAAAAAAAAACTAGGAATGAAACAAAATGCCTTAATAATTGATGGGAGATGGAATTTTTGTTTTCGAGGACATTAATTGAAACATAAATTATAATTTACAAAAGGATGTTCTACTACAGGGACTATAATTAAAAGATCTATAATAACTCCGATAAATTATATGTTAGGTAGGTATATTTCATTTAAACGGAAGAAAATTACATATTATTGCAAATGATGTGAGAAATATTTGCTATATACTGTTATGTGTACCTATTGACACAATGAAGCTGAAATAATTTTTAGATCACCTGTTCTGTTTCAAACAAGAACGTTTTCAATCTTTCAATATCTCGCTTACTCACCAAGGGGCCGGATCCTCGGGCCAGGGAGTGGAGCTCCCCGATAGAACGAGTGTTTTGTCCTTGTCAACGTTATCGAAAAGAAAACAAGAATGATAAAGACGAAACATTTTTTCTCTCGGGGAGCTTTACTCCCTGGCCCGAGGATCGGCCGCCAGGTGGCCGATCCTCGGGCCAGGGAGTAGAGCTCCCCGATAGAACGAATGTTTTGTCCTTGTCAACTTAATCGAAAAGTAAACGAGAATGATAAAGACGAAATTTTTGTTCTCTCGGGGAGTTCCACTCCCTGGCCCGAGGATCGGCCCGCTGAGTAGAAACTTTGCCAGTAGCATAAGTTCCTGGAGAAGCAAAAACAATTCTGCATTATGTGCCAATTTACTTAATTTTACAAATAATGTGCCTGAATTAAATAGGACTAGAATTAGAATTTCAATTAAAACTTAACAGTAAAGCCATAATGTGCATGAAATCCTCCTGGCAATAATTATAAAAATAATGGTGTAGGTCAATGGCATTTGTGTATATTTAATTATCCTAGCGGACCGTAAACAAGTTCAGTAATTTTTTTTATTGTTATTCCCATTTATGTTACATTACAATTTTTTATTATTCAGAATTGACCGTTTTTCATTATTATATTAGATCAAGACTGAATGAAAACTGAGTCTTGATCTAATATAGGATAATAAATGAAGAGTTGCTTGATTTCGTTCTGCTCATACCCAATTTCAGAAAATCTCTAAATGGATATCAACTTTGAGCTTGAAAGCTAAAACCTTTGCTAAAACTTTATTCAAATTTACCATAGAAACGCAAGTTACAATGAATCACAGAGTTTCGATCATTGGCATACATTTTTCAAAAAAAAAATCTTATAAATTATACATAGGGTGTTTGGTACATCGATAGGATATACAATCTACTTTTCAATGAGTGATGGTTAGTTTTTCACTTCAATAGCTCGGATCAGATTCAGTTTATTGAGACCGAGGAAGTCCCTTGAGAAAAACTAGAGGAAGCATTTGACAAATGGCATGAAGGCAGTTGGACATTATTGTTTCTACACAATGACACACATGATCTTAAGAGCAGCTCTCCAAGATTTTCGCGGAAAAAAATTGGGTGTATTTCTCTATAGCAGCTAGAGTCTAGCACTAATAACAAAATGAAATGTTGAAGTAGGTAGGTACTCTTACTATGTGCTATGCAATCGAAGATTTTGCGCCAATTCTGGAAGTTAACTCGTACTGGAGTAACTTTAAAATCTGTAGAAAAAGAAAAGTTCAGAATCTTGGGGTATGGAAAGAATTGGCAACGTCTGGGCTTTGTGGAAGGAACTTTATCTCAATTGAATAAAATTTTAGAAGCTTAAATTCTATGATAGTGATAAAACTAGAAAAAGCTTCCACCTCTAAAGATAATATCTATTTAAAATTATGAAATATACACGTTCATTTCCGTATAATCTTGAACAAATGTAATGATAGATATACCAGATTTCAACTTATGCAGCTGAAACCCTAATTCCCCAAGAAAGGATAATACTCCAGGAAAATTCTACATTTCAAGATAAGGCGAATAACAAAGTTGAAGGAATAATATCTCACAAAATAATAATTCACAAGGAAACATTGCTACAAAGGCAACATACTTATCCGGTCGTATACAGGCTGTTTTGGTACATCGATAGGAGTATTTTAATGAGTGATAGTTGGGGTCATTTGGAAGCTGTTTGAGCACATTTATCCTCCTGCAAAGTTTCATCGTTTTTGAGATATCAGCATTTTTAAATATTTTTGAATTATTCCCAAAACATATGTTTTTTTTTTTTTTGGAGCACTTTACTCTTTCTGAATTTTTTTTCCGATATTCCTAATATGCACTCTTTTGAAAAATACAGAAAGAAAAACCGAATGATTAATATAAAAAATATGTAGCCCAAGTTATGTGTTAAAATTCATGGATTCAAAGTATCTAAAAATGGCGATATCTCAAAAAACAGCGAAACTTTTCAAATAATATAAATATGGTCTAACAGCTTCCAAATGACCCCAACTATCACTTATTGAAATACTCCTATCGATGTACCAAACAGCCTGTATATGACCGGATAAGTATGTTGCTTTTGTAGCAGTGTTTCCTTGTGTATTCATATTTTGTGAGATGTTATTTCTTCAACTTTGTTGTTTGCCTTATCTTGAAATGTAGAATTTTTCTGGAGTTATATCTTTTATTTTCAACCACATATGTAATGTTGACATTGCAGGTTTTTCAAAATCTTGAAAGTGTCACATTTCTGGACTTTGACATTTATCGGGACGGTAATGCATATGCCTGCCTAGGACGGAAAAGCATTTTCCGTCCGGGACGGCAAATGCTTTTCCGTCCCCATTTCCCTGCTCGTTCCAAATTGATAATTTTCATACAGCTCTCACATATAATAATAAAACCACATGTATTACATGGAACTAATTAAATCTATTCACTTATTTACATTAATTGTTAAATTAGCATTGTTGTTTATAATGGAAATCTTGAGACCATCCTGTTGGAATTGTGTTTCGTTTGGAACTATTATCTCTTGCGCTTGCGGATGAGTTTCCGCATGTGATGTACTTGTGGATGCACTGGACAACTGAATACCTTTGGAAGTAGAGGATAGCATCAGAGCAGTCTTACTTTTGTTCTCCAAAGATGCCTCTATGTAGCCTTCAGCAACCGTGCTCGATTTCCACCCTCCCAGTCTTTTGAGTTGCAATAGATCGGCCCCGTTGTCAACCAATAAGGTTGCGGAAGTACGACGAAAAGCATGCCCTGTAAGTTTCAATTTTTGGAAGCTTCAAAAAAGCAGCTATTTTATGTGGAAATTTTGAGATTGAATGATAGCCAATTGCTTGGTTATGTAATTTCCCATTTCGCCATTGAACAAATAACCTGTCATTTTTCAAATTTTTCCGCAAAGTGAGGTATTTGTGGAAAATAGCAACCCAATCTGGATCGCTTATGATAAACGATCGACTTGTGTAAGTTTTTGTGTGTGGAATTTCTATAGCGATCTTTCCTTCCAAAACGTTGACGTGCTCCATTTTCATCTTGACTAGTTCATCGCTCCTACACGCACCCGACACACCAACAATTAGCGCTACCTGAAACCAGATAAAAATAAAATGGGTAACCTAGCTATAGCATACAGAAAATCATTTTGATTTTCGCATTTTTATCTTCTTTGTATATTTTTTGAAAACCTACCTTGATGCTAATGAATTCTTCAGCTGCCTTCGTGAGGAACTCGTTAATGTTTTCTCTGGAAAAAACGCTCGACTTTTTCGGCTGAAAGCCCAGATTTTGCCGCTTCAAAAAAGCTATAAGTTTTGCGTAATTGGAGATATCAACTTTCTCTTTCAATTTAATCATGGTTTTCAACATACTGTAAGTCGACCATAAAGTCGAAGGCTTCTTTTCCTTAGATAATTCGCCAAAATACGCCAACAAAACGGTCTCCGAGGCAGTATTTCTCGTTCCTTTCTGGCTACACCATGCTTCGAATATTTGAAAAGCCTTTTCGTACCGAAATTTGCTTTTTGCTGGAAGCAAACTCTCTCCAATCCTGTCTGCTGCTTCTTTTAATTCAGGTGGGGTACAATCCATCGCTTCATCTTCACTTTCCGAAATCATTTCTTTGGGGAGAACGGGGAGAAATCTAGTGAAAATCTATTATTTCCGCAAAAATACTGAGCGAAAACTACCGTCGTTAAGGCGTTGTTGATCTTATCTATGGTTGTTGATTTTGCGGTTTCCTGTGGTTTCGTCTTTTGTTTTGGCCTTTACAGGGCCTTTGAGATCGTCAAAATTGATGACATTGACAAAAAAAGTGAAATATTTTTTTCTAAGGCCAGTTTTACACTATATGAAAATTTCGTATAACAGAATCTTTAGTTTTTGCATCAGAAAATTAAGGGTTGAAAATAAAAAAGTATACAAACCTCGACGGAAAACTTCATTTCTGTCTCGAGGTTGAGTTTATCTCGACGCTTCGCGTCTCGATAAACTATAATAACCTCTCGACCAGCAATGAAGTATTTTCCGTCTCGGATTGTAATATACTATTCTTGGGGAGTTAGGATTTTAGCTGCATTATTTTTTATTTCTGGAGATAAATCTTAATTTTTAGCATTTTCATCATTTTGAACATAATTATTAACCTTGGCAGCTTGTTATATTGGGAAAGATAAGTTGAAATCTGGTATATCTATCATTACCTTTGTTCAGGATTATACGAAAATGAACGTGTATATTCCATAATTTT